TGCTACCTAAAGTTGACCCTCATGTTACAATTGTGGTCGCATTACAATAGAGTAAATATGATATTTGCCCACGCTATTCAAACTAGGCAAGATTTCGCATTAATTAAAATCAATGAGTGCTACAGGTGAGTGTTACAGGTGGAAATCGGTGAGTGCTACACTCAGAAAAGAATATTGGCACTAAATCCTTGGAAGTCCTGCAAATGAATATTCATATTCCCAGAAACTATCTTTGACATGTAGAAACTGAAACAATGCACAATATAAGGAGGAATTCAGATTACAATGAAGGAAAAAAAGTGCTTTTTTCGGCAAGTATGCGAGAACAACCTCCGAGCCTAAAATGAACAAATCCAGAAACCAATATAGAATGAATAGTTTAATCGTGATTAACAGCCTTTTTATATTTTTACTGGAGAGCAATGTTCACATCCTAGCATTTAAATTAGCGAGATTCTGTTGTATTGCTGCACTTTATGAAGCATGGATTATATGAAAGCACTGCTGAAATGAACATTTTGTTCACAATTTGATAAATGGTCATATATTAACAGGTTGATTTCAAAAAGTAGTTTTTAGTCAGAGTTAGCCGGATTACACAAATGCTTTTGAATTGTCGGCTTGGATCCCAATGTTGCAGCTGCATTTCAGTGGAAGTTACATGCTAAAGCTCAAGTAGCGTGCTATGTCAGTGCAGGTTAAAGAACACCATGTGGTCTAAATTTCTGCAGCCCTCCAGTACAGCATCTTTCATAATCATATCATGGTTTTAGGATGTAAAACCCCAGATATTGTCATCATTATTAATGTTTTAAAGTAAGTGTGTTTGATGACTTCTATAATAGCAGAATGTGAAAATAAAAAGGTAGCCTTCAATTTGAAATAGTCCCTACAGTTACCTGGCTCCTTCAGCTGTACAACTGAAACCTTACACTTCACCATTCAAGATAAAAAATGTGAAGTGCTCAAAAATTATTCAAAAATTGAAACCCGCTAGCAACAACTATTTAACACATCATTATAAAATTTCCCTTTTTCTATAAATCAAACAGAAACACACAAGCAGCATTTATTACGTCTCTTGATGAACAGCGAATTCTTTCTTTATTGCAGATAGTTTGATTACTAGTGATTAATTGTAGTCAAATGCTCTCGCGTCATTGGGACCATTTTGCAGATGACCCACTGGTGGTGCATGTCGTGTAATACATTTAGCTCAATTTCTTGGTAAGTAAGGCATTGCTGTTGATACTAATGCCACTTTAGATGTTGCCATGCATTGAGTTTTCACTCTGACACAAATTGTCATTTGCCCTTAGTGTCCCCTTAAGTGGCCACTTCAGTTGTTCACTTACACAACGTATTCTGCACATACAAATCCACTTGAGGGGCCTTTTCTACTGAATGTTTGACTAGTCACTGGCCCATTATCCAACTGTTCATAAACTGAAGTTAAAAAAGAGAAAACGTCAAGAACGCTTGGGCTTTGCCTTCGAAAGTAGAATGCGATAGCTTAAGGGTCTCGTGTGCAATGCCTTCTCAATTGCTCGCCTGCCTTCACTTCTCGGTGCAAGCCTTAACCTTGCGATAAGGAAACATGACTGGGAGCATAACATCCACTTCAAGTGTTCTTAGAATAGCTACAGCAAGTAGAGTTGTCAAGTGCCCACTATGGCATAATTTTTGCTTTTGCCAATCAGCGATGGGCCAACTACATGTCTGTAACACAAACCTATGTAGCTGCTGACCTTGTTAAAGTGTTTGCGGCTGACAATGATTAAGTATGTCTGAACACTTTGTAATCAGTGAGCTTCTACAATGCCCACTTGTTGCACAATTCACAATTTTTTAATGCCTTATGCAAGTCTATGCATCTGCCATGCAATATTATGTGCATTAAAAAGACTCCTCTCCCTACATGCCATTAATACAACCTCCCCCCCCCCCTCCAAAACACTTTCAAGTAATAGCATGGATTTGTGGTATAACAGCTGCTTGCCAGGCAGATGGCCGGGTTATATTCCAGCTCAAACCGAATATTACAGGTCAAAGAGCTCGTTTCACAGAAATTACAGCGTTGGCATTGATGATGGTTGTGAGCGGAAAATCATCTTGTGTGTGACCGAAAAGTCAACAAAGATGCAAATAAAATAAATAATAAAACATTCTAGGTCTGAGTGGGGATCGCACCCAGGTCATTTGCATGGCAAGCAGGTGTTCTGCCACACAGGCTTGTGAATACAGAGAAAAAAAATTCCTCTGCTTAGAAATGCTGAGAAATTAACTTCATGCTTTACAAACACACGTGTCCTGTACACATGCTTCACAATACAACATGAAATATTGCAGCACTAATGCATGGTACGAGCGTACATTGCCACCGGGTACCTATCATAATGACTTTATGGTTTAAACCCAGTCACCCACTACAAAGCGCACACACGCTACTGCACCCTTAAGGCCACATAGTGGGCGCATAGCAAGTTTGAAAAAAAATTTCATGTACCAAGTGTTTGAAGTACGCACTAGAGACAGGATATCTCTATAGCATTCAACTCTTAAAGGTTGAAGCCTAAGGGTCCCCTCAATGAGAGTTTTTATTGTTTATTTTACTCGCATCTTCATTTTTCTGTTACGGACAAAATAATTTTAGACTCGCAATAGACGACACTGACACCAGAATTCCAGTGAAATGAGCTATTTAACACTATCGCATTAAATGAAGCGGGTATATACAATCTCTGCAAAATATGCAAGACAGGACAGCCAACTGTCCATTGTGAATGGACGGAGACCTAAGCCAAGTTCTTAAATAATGTTCTGGACCGACGCTAGGGGGCCTGAGCAATGCATTTCACTGGAGGTCGTAAAAACAGGTGCTGACAAATATCTCTCGTCAACGATACTTGTTGGGTCTTCACTTAGAGCATTCACAATAGGCAGTTTTGTTTGGAGCCATTTTCCGAGCATGCGCAACAGGTGGTTTTATGGGTAGCATTTATTAGTTTCATAATAAATTAGGCATTATTGAAAATTAAGCTAAAGAAAAGAATAATTTGCCATCCAGCCAAATATAGCATAAAGCCACAAAAGCAGGCAATATGGATGTTTATAAAACTATTTCTTGTAGTTTGCACAACCTATAAGTGAACAACTATTTAAAACTTTAATGAATTTTGCTTCTAGGGGTGACTATTCAACAGAATCAATTAGCATATATTTTTGTTGTTCAAAACATACTTCTGCAATTTACTCTCCCATCATAGCCTGTTATCACCACAAGCTAACGAAGCCCAAATGGTCACGGACGCCTGAAACGCATAGCTGTAGTAGCCTGAGAACTGATCACTGCAACCCATAGCAGCAGGGAGCAATGACTAGAGAAGTTTTGAGAGCTACAACAACTAAGCTTGTGAAAAGATGCCTGAAAATATGTATACTCTAGCACTACTCGTGAGTCAGCACTGAGTGCACACAACGAAAGGTGTAAAGTGTGCTGTATGGCGAGATTGAATGGGTAAATATTGCAAAAGAAAAAAAAACTCCAGTGCAGTAAAAATCACCAATACGGCTCTAAAGCAGCATAAGGAGCATATTGTTGACAAGACGTACGCGGGTCACGAAAATTTTATAGGGCAGACAGACGCATAAATGTGATACATTTGGAGTGAAACAACAAAACAAATATCATGACAAACTCCAACGCTCCAATCAGAGTGACCACGTCGATTCTATAGGCACCTGTTGCTTGGTGCCTCCACAATGGGTCCACAATACTTTGCAGTAGGCGACACCACCAGGAAAATCATTTTAGCTTAAGGAATGCTTGTAAATCGTATGCACAGATTTGGTGTGTGTGAATACGACATTCAATGGAAAGTGCAATGCTGCGATAATGTATATATGAAAAGTCCACCTCTGCGAAGACACGTAGAATTTTTATCAATCCAGAAAATCGCAGACCGAATTTCCTGAATGTAACCTTCATGCATCCGAAGCACATCCAGCGCAAAAGGCACTAGAGGGGGCAGTAAGGTAAAACGAGAGAGATTGATTGATATGTGGGGTTTAACGTCCCAAAACCACTCTATGATTATGAGAGACGCCGTAGTGGAGGGCTCCGGAAATTTAGACCACCTGGGGTTCTTTAACGTGCACCCAAATCTGAGCACACGGGCCTACAACATTTCCGCCTCCATCGGAAATGCAGCCGCCGCAGCCGGGATTCGAACCCGCGCCCTGCGGGTCAGCAGCCGAGTACCTTAGCCACTAGACCACCACGGCGGGGCAACGAGAGAGAGAGAGAAGCGTGCGCTATGGTACGATGGAATGTAGCCTCTAGGAGGCGTGGCTAACTTCTTACGCAACCTGAAGATACGACGAGGCACAAATAACTTATGAGCAAGCAGCCAACCTCGCCCGTTTCCTTTGAAGAGCTCGAAACGAATGGTCAGCCGGCGATGCGCACATGAAAGCGTCCATCTAGACACCATCACAGATTAATCAAGTTGCGGAAATGGCATCGGTCGCTGCCGCATTATTCTTGGAAGGGCGGGGCCGAACACACGCCGCCGGTCTTTAATACACGCAGACGCTCGTCGCGACATGCCGTCAAGTTGAGGAGGGTAGCGCCGATTGAAACAAAAGTAACAACGTAATGCGTCTGCATACAGGTATGCAGTCCAGTAGCGTAGTTGTACCAACGCGTTTCCGTCGGAAACCCTTCAGAAGCGGCGAGCACAACATTCCTGCGGCCCTGTCAGTCACGGCGCAACTTGGCTCAGCTGACACCACGTGACTGCGTTTTCGCCTTTCCTCGGCAATCCCGTCTGCTCTGGACGCTACTCCGGTGTTGCAGCGCGTTAGCAAGTGTCAGCTGAGCGGCACTGTTTAATAGCTTTAAGAGAACGGGCCGTTTGTTTACTTTACTCTATGAAACCAGGAATCGCTTTCGCATTAGAAATCCCCAGGATGCGGCAGTAGTAATGATGTCTGCTTACCGTTTTTGCTCACATCCAAGTCGACCAAGTTCATCAAGTTGGCAATGTCCGCTGGAAGCTGGGAGATTTCATTGTCGTTGACGCTTAACCTCCGCAACTTCGTGAGTCGGAAAAGGCCCTGCAAAGGCAAGCATTCGCGTTTAAAACAGCAGCGTAAGCCTAGTCGGTCGGTTAGGCCTAGCCGACGCTGGGCTGTCGTACAGCTCCGTCAGGCGTGCAAGCTTCGCGCTACTTACTCTCGGCAGGTCGCGAATGTGATTGGCATCTAGGAGCAGCTCTTCTAACGTCCTCGCGTACCTCAGCACATCGTCCGGTATATTGAACAAGTTACTGTGTCTCTTGTCGATGTACTCGACTTGACGGTTGCACCCACGGAACAGTGGAATACAGCGGAACATTGCTCCTCAGGAGACGGCACACCCAGGCATGGCACACGCGCGCACACAAGCACGCGATGCACACAGGCAAACACACACACACACGTTCCCACACAAAGATCACAGCGCCCGGCACAGGCTACAGCACCAGTGTGCACATCACATTCTTCGGGACCGAACAAAACACAACAGATACGGCCCGACGGACCACGACCATGACGTCAACAGCCGACGGTCCCCGGCTTCGCCTTCCCACACCCGTCACGGACAGCTGAACAGCACAAACGCGGGGAGCGAAGCAAGTGTTATCCGTGATGTCCGCCGAAAGCGAAGTGGCGCTGTAACACAACGCTTCTCTCTTCCACCGCTGTTGGCGCTGTCTGTAATACTAAAGCAGGCCATACGTGACGTTGTAAATCCAGTGCTAAAACTGAAAATGAAACTAAACTAGAAAATGAAAATAAACTAAACGCAATCAAGTTGTTGATTGTATCAACGTCAGCAAAAATGGCGACTGCGTGTTGTCTTCAAGTACAAACTCTGCGAAGTGAACTAAATGTCTTCTACTTCGCTATGTCTCCAAGACTTGCGTTGGTCCATGACGATATAAGTATGGTGTACTGGAATACCATAAGTGCCATAACTGCACCACTTGGTAACAGCAATCTCGAACAGATTAAATGAGCAGAAGACGAAGACAGTAAACAGGCTTGAGACACATGAGCGCTGATTTAACAATATTTTATTTGGAACAAAAAAAGCCATAAAAACCCGGGTGTACAAGCGATTCGTACTGCTGCTTGCTGTTGGGGCACGCGCATGGAGCATCCTACTAACCGTATACATGTGGTCACTTGTTTTGAAATAAAATATAAGCGATTGTAGAGCCGAGTTTTCTAGTGTGAGTGCAGCGCCAGAACGCGAAGCCTGGAGGAAAAAAAAAAGCCTTGATACAGCATTAGTTTTTGGCGGTGAAGCTCCCTATGCCGTGGGTCGTGCGTCCGCGATTTATGTAGTCGAAGTAGTAGCAGGTATACCCACCTCCACGGCCGGACTAGCTAGAGGAGTGGCACGCGCGCACCGTTTTCAATTGAGGAGGAAACCCGCGCACGTTAATCATAAATAAAAAGATAGTTGTTTCTGATGAAATAACTTACAGAGACGAGTATTGGTGACTTCAATAAATTTTGCCTTAAATTTGATGCTTACTAAAAAAAACTCTCATCAGAAGGACGCACTTTGAGCGCTATCTGACCAGAAAGAGTTGCCACGTTAAACTCGCTGGGCGTAACCTCCTTGGTTTTATCAAGGTTTAGCGAGGGTATGGACGCAGTGCCATGAATATAGTGTAGTAGTATATAGCCATGAACTAGAGGCGGGTAAAGGTGAGAAGTAGGCACGAAGCGCAGGTCGTAAGAAAGTGCGCGAGTGCCACCTCTCGCGGAAGCACGCACGGACTATCACAGCATATCCACGGAATGAATGATGATGAATGGGGCAAAGCGTCCATCAATCCGTCCGTACTTCCGTCCACGTGCCAGTTCATGCGTCCGTCCGTCCATGTGTGAGTCCATCCGACGTTCGCCTGTTCATGCGTCCATCAGTGTGTGCATCCGTCCGCCCGTGTGTTTGTCTGTCTCTCCCTCTGCCTGTCCGTCCATGCGCCCGTCCGTCCATATGGTGAACACTTGAAGTACTGCCATCTCGCTTCTTTTACATGCGGAGCATGTTATACTATGGGCTAGTCATGCGCCATCGCCGTCCGCAGCCTCCCCTCCTCCGCCAGCCATCTGTGCATCCCTTCCTCCTCTCAACACAGCACGCGCTGCGATCGCTTCTCCCCTCCACGCGCCAGCTGTATGCTAACGCGCGCATGCGCAGGCTGGAGCCGGCGCTCGTTATAAATAACCGAGTGTCGAAGCGCGCTCACGCGGTTGACGTCGTGCAAGAACCTGTACTCCGCTGAGTGGACGTGCTTTGCTTAACCGAGACGTGGAACGCCACCGACGACGTCGACGGTGTGGTATACGCTCCAGCCGCGTGCACGCACGGGTTCCAACGACCTGCGGGCGGCGTGGGAATTTACGTCAAGTGTGACGACGTCGTCTCCGTAGAAGACCTACAACTGCGGCCCGGCGCTCAACAAAGCGCCAACGGCGAGCACTGCCTCGCTAGCGTCTGGGGAGTCGACGTCATGACGATGTACCTCGCGCCCAACTTATCGCGTGCCGCCGTGGAGAAGTACGTCGACGAAGCTGTGGAAGAATACCTGAAACAATGACCGCAACGACGACCCTTCGTGATAGTTGGCGACTTCAACGTCGACGTCATCAAGGACGGTTGGGTAGTCGACTACATGGAGTCGCGGCACTCGCTGAAACGAGCAACGCACGACGGCAAACATCATCCGACCACGGTTCACGGGACGTGCATCGACCACGTCTCTGCAAATTTCGACCGCTGCAATCAGACCCATGCACCCTTCACTTTACGGATCATAAAGCCATCTTGCTCAAAGTACCCAAAGCGTCTCATCAATAAACATCGTCTTTCGCAGCATACGTGCGTGCGTGTTCACTCATAACACACACGCATGTCGCAAATTACAAACCCCATTTATCGCAGTTCAACATATATGCTCCGCATGCTAACCAATGTTCCCACTCGGGAAACTGCGGTCATTTTTTTTTTATTGTACATTCATCATATACAAGCACCGCTACCCCGCGGACAATTCAAGGACTAAACAAAAGTATGTACCACATTTCTGCAGCCAGCACTTTGTTAACACCGAGAGCGTGATAATGACGCCGTGCTACGTTTTTCGGAAGATGTGGACATGCGGATATGGGCCCGTGGGCGAGTATGTGCCACTGGTATGTGGGTGGCTACTTACTCCAACTACTACATACATCAGATGATTTACAGACCCACGCCTTAATAGCCCTAAATTATAGTATCAGAAGGACGCACTTTCAGCACTATCTCAGCAGAAAGTGTAGCCGCGTTAAACTCGCTGGGCGTAACGTCCTTGGTTTTAGCAAAGGTTGGACCGCAGTGCCAAGATTATAGTGAACTATAGCCATAAACTAGAGGCGGTGAAAGGCGGGAAGTAGACGCGAAGCGCAGGCCGTAAAGCAAGTGCACGAGTGCCACCTCTCATTTAGTCCTTCGAATGTCCGCTAGATGGCGGTACTTCTATATGCTGAATTTATGATGAAAATATCGAGAACTTGTTAACATCGCAACACTTGAAACCCAGGACAAGGAATGAGCAAAGAAAAAATACGGCGCCATCTTTTCTTTTTTTCTTTTGCTCCTTCCTTGTACTGTGCGTGTTTTAAGTATTGTGCTGTTAACAAGTTCACGATGAATCCCAACCAACTGTCCCAACTTACCGTCTTACTGCATATGATGAAAAGATGCTAGATGGCGGTACCTGAAGCGTTTACTAGGTGGATGGACAGACGGGCAGACAGATGCACTGGCGGACGGACGGACGCATGGAAGGAACCACAGATGGACGGATGCACAAACGCTTCGCCCCACTCATCATGCACTCTGTGGATATGCTGTGATTTTTATACTTCCCTGCATGAGCAGGCGGATTGTGGCGATGCCATAGGCCTTGCTACACGAGGGAAGCACGCGCACGTGTTTACTGCGTGCCCCCACTGGCCACTGTCAGCGAACCCACTGAAACGACGGGGCTTGCCACAAAATGACAGCATAGTGGTCTCGCATAAAGACTCCTCAATTCGTGCAAATGTTTATAATCGTCGAAAACAGCTCAAGAACAATAGGCGAGCGATGAGGGCTCCAATGTCTCTTCCCTGTTTATCTATTCTTTTTATGAACAGTAATGAGTTCTTACGACTGGAAACTGTCGAATAGAGCCAGAAAGAGACTGACGCGTTTAATTACCTGCGGTCTTTACACACGAGTACTTGTCGCGTGCAGCAGCCCTAAACTTTAGCGACAACATAAGTAATATTGTGTTCTCTAGCTTCCCATGTTCAGACGTACTTTACTGCGCGCCGCAGGCGTTGGCGCGGTGCCAAGTAGGTCGCGCCACTGCTGCGCATTGACCTTACGCTCCCTTCGCAGTGGGCGCTGATGATATTACTCTCCCTCGCCTGCCGCGTGCTCGCCGCTGCCACCTCGTCCGTTCACCGGAAAGCCCTGACGCGACCGCCACTCGCTACACCGCCGACTCGCCGGTTCACGCGCAATAAACCTAACGCGCGCCTAATACATGCGCTTTGAAACATGTCTGTACTAACCTACGCCAGCCATCGCTTCAAATGAATCTTTCGACGCTTACCGGAGCACCCGCGTTAGCGCAGTTCAATTCGTGACGCCACCCATACGCAACGCTGCTGCTTCGTATCCCATCAAGGTTTCCTTCGGCGAGACGGTCCAAGTTTTTTCCACGAAGTATCCAGCGGCGGTGCAAGTACTAACTCTTTGCATTCTTCATGATAAATATGCTTAGGTCCAACCGCGTTCGATTTGTGTTCGTTCACTCCGAGAGCGTTTCGCTTCGTTTAGACACTCCACTGTTTATACTTCGAAATTATGCTGTGTGCCTTTGCGAAGGCCAGTGAGGTGGTGACAAGTCAACAAGGTAGCGCCCACGGCGACGTGACCGTCCGCTTCGATCCAAACTTGGTACTCACCCACTACTTTGGCAACAACAAATAAAGTGTGAAATGGTCACGTGCATGTGCCAACTTTAAAAGTTGCTGCGAAGGGAGAATTGGGACACACCCATATCCTTGTTCTTGATGGGTTTACATCTCGCAGACTGCAAATTTAATCTAGCTTTTTCTTTTAGTTACGTCACATAAAAAGACCAGAGACTGAACATATTTTTACTCCAAAGTCATTTATTTTTTTTCTACAGTATCCAAACACAAACGTTTACAAGATCAGTATGGTACAACGACGTACACAATATGCTAACATCAGACGCGAAATGGATTATACAACACAAGCCCCGGATGACGAGAGAAAGAAGACTGCAATGTGAAAGAACCACCAGACCACTACGGCCACCGCTGTTCCAGCGCGGTTTTGTTGCGACTGTCCCAGCAGCAAAAATGACAAGGCACAGTGTCTCCCTTGGTGCAGCACGCAACCCCGCGTACGAAAATCACACACTCCTCTAGGAACCAGCCAATCTGAACGCTCGTTTGAACTCACCAAGCTGTGAGAATCATGTAAATCTACTAAGCAAGCGAGTGACACCATTGCGCTGGCAATTGAAAATAGCCAACAAAAATATGACCACATTACCGTCCAATTGTAGCTTTTTACGTAGAAACAGCTGGTGAACTGTATCGCAGAGGTAGCGCAGCTAACATCAAACCAAAAAAAATTATTGCCATTGCAGAACTGTTTCGATCTTCGTGGTTACATTTGACAATTTTTTAAGACTGTTTGCATACTCTCAAGAGGTGTTCCTGCAACACCCACATGGCAAGCATGAATAATTAGGGTAATGGCTGTTCTACAACCACAATGAGCTTGTAGAACTCCACCTTTTGTTATCGCACTGCAACGGGGTTAAAAATGATACAGACGAGGCTTCATGAAAGAGCTTTCAAAACATCACCTCTCACATCCATTGCAACCAACCGAAGTCAATGCATAACAGAAGTCAACTGCAATTTTTCCAGCAACACAACGAGCCTTGGCTGGAAGACCCCAGAAAAGAGTGTGCTGTAGCATACTGGGGTGCGGGCTGCTACGAGGGACACACATGGTTCATAAAGATTTGTTCAAAAACAATCAGAGGCCTACCGTTTTTTTTTTTTCACTATTCCCTGGACATTGTGTACCTAATTAACAATCGGGATACACTGGGAGCTCAAATAGTAGATACAGTGAAAAATAAAGGTGGTGGAAATATGGTAAAAATGAAACGGGGAAGTAAAGCACTTTGTTCAAGAATAGGGGCGTCCAAACTTAAATCATGCCTGTGAGAAGAAACGGGAAGGGGGGACTGAGAACAGAAGTTTGCCACCCAAAAACGGATCACTGCTGTTATCAAACCTAGCAGAAGCCAGAGGAACTAGTCATATGCCACTTCGCTTGGACTAGGTGTGTTGTGATGAAGTGGCCATGCGAACTACTTGAGTGCAGAGATTGGGCAAAGGTCTGACTCTCGTGTTATTTAATTCAACAATTGCTCTGATGCACTGCGTCTGGAAAATAAGTTCACTAACAAAATCCTCAACAGTTTCAAGTTTAAAAGCAAGAACATGGCCACATCATCAGCACATGCACGTCAGTCGAAACAATGATGCGTTAAATTTAGACCAAGGCTAGTCACCCATTTGAGGTAGGCATTCTATGGCTCCCAGCGAAAACCTCTTTCACGGAAAAAGTACAAAAAAAAAAAACTCATTCTCACAGTGTACGAGACCACCAAACTGACATGTCTGGGCCTGTGAATGGTAAACCTTTTCCTATAGACAGGTGATTTAATGACAATTTACAATGGATATATCCACGACCCAATTTGAAACCATGTATCAAAATCGCAACTCCATTCAATGCTGTCGTGGCATTCTATCTTACATATTTGAAATTTATTCCCATCATGCGTTTATTACAGAGAACCACTTTACAAAGAAAGAGAGGCATTGGCCAAGGCATTGTACAATACACCAAAACTGTACACCAACAAAAATTGGGAGGGGAAAGTGGGCCCACAGTTGCAAAACCGATCAAAAACAAATGCTGGGCAAGAACGGTGCCTACGAAGGTTTAGGATGCCAGTAATGGCAACACACTCGGGACAAACCACTCTATTCTGGCATGCTGCTCAAAGGCTACACACTATCGGGCTTTAGGCACCCGGAACACAGGAAACAAATTTCCAGTGGATTTTTGGTGTCAGTGCAGACTGATGTTCATTGACATTGCCAAGAACAACATAATGCTGAATATGACTCTCGCTTGACACCTTGAAGTTATTAGCAAAGCAAGAAGGCTGGCGAACTTTTCGGAAAATCCCCGAGAACTTTGTTCTTTATGGTTCAACATTGCAAGTCAGGATGGGCAGAAACATGCTATGCAATAGAAAATAGCTTCGGCATAGTGCTATCGCTCTACGCTATGGCAAAAGCACCACTTGAGAGAAACCAACACAGTTGTTACACATTCACAAATTTATTGGTGTGATGGGACCAGGAACCCAGTGAGAGGACACCACACTGACCCGCAAATGCATGAAGATGAGACTACTGGCCAGTGTCATGCAGTCTCCCCTGAAATCCCTGCATCGTCCCACCATTGCAGCTGTAAATGTCTCCGTGGTGTGAATGGTAACCACAGCAACGATGGAGCGGTAATGCCTAACTAAACCTTCCATATGAATTAGAGGCCAGTGAGCATCTGAACAGAGTGGCCCTCAACGAGTGTGGCAAGCACTGGTATAAATTACCTGGACTTATGGCCTCCTGGCACATCCAACCCAAAAGTCAAAACAATTATTGAATAGAACATTAGCATTTTAATTTCCTTTTTATTGCCCCAAGAATCGTATGCCTCACTTGATTAACTTTCTATGCTTTATATACACTAACAGAAACATTCTGTACTCAAGTTCTTAAATGCCTATCTATCTACAGTTTGCTCCCAGAGCGTTCAATATTACACAGAGGAGAGAGGCAAATTGGAAGCAAGAAAAAATAAAGGAAGAATCGACAACCTAAAAACAGAGGCACGCCAGGCCACGAGAAAAACCAAGGGTTTCTTGAGATGCCTGTGACGACGAGCGCACAAGCAAACTCTGTACATACATTTACAAAGGGTTACCTCATCATTCATAAATAGTTTTTTTTTTTCTTATAATACAACAGGTTAAGCTCGTCGACATCTCATCTTTCCCTGGGTCGCGTTGTGTGCAAGCTTTACAGGCTGTAAGAAAAACCGTGAGGGACAGCCGCCAATGTGAGAGAATGCTTTCCCCCCTCAAGTGTCATGAAAGAAAGAAAAAGAGAAATTTTAAACTAGCCTTGAAAGGGGGCACATGTCCCGAAGTGGTATGCACAATATTTTAGTAAAATGACAGGTTGGCTGTGCATGGTACAAGATGGGCCATTAGTGGTAACGTGTACAGGGTGACAAGCAAAAAGACTGTTTGCTTCTTAATGATAATGCTATATGCTAAAGGATAAGACAAAACTGATAGATGAAAAATTTTAAAACCACGATGGAACTGGACTGGAAGAAACGCCAGAAAATCTTGGGAGAACAAGCGATGTTGAGACAAAATAGAATGCTAAATATATGAGGTAGCCACTTCGCAGTGGCCCTTCAGACATTACCGGTTCATTACAATTTTTATTACTATTTTGTACTGAGTTGAGTCCGTAATACAAGTGAATACACACTCAAGACAACAAAGAACGATATATTACTGCTTATCCCGTGTCATTCTGTGTGGCCTGTAGTGGGTGTTCGCAAGTATCACAGATTCATATAGCGAAGCTTCCACTGTTTGCACCGAAACAACTTTTGCCAAGATGAAATGTGGAGCAATGTCGCGAGGTGATGTCACTGTTGTTTTTGAGAAAATTTCATGATTTTTTTTTGCCCCTATGTAGACTACGTGGTCACCCCCCCCCCCCCCCCAATATTAGGTGGCACATTCAGACAACGAATGAACGAAATAGGCGGCAATAAATTCGACCCTTATGCGATGCTTTGGCGAAACTGATCCAGCATTCAAGCTGAGAAAGTTATTTATGGATGGCTTTTTTACCAACACAACAATCAACATTCACACGATACCACTTATAAAAAACCCTGGCCCATCACTTGCAGTGGGATACTCATCAGTAATCTGTTTCGCATGGCACCCACAACAGCGGATTAGTTAACGCAAACAACAAACCAATAAGCTGCTGCTTCAACACGGTAGTTGACTCCATTTCTTTAGCAATAACGGTCCCAATAACCTGTATCAACATCCCTACGCCACCTTTTGACTCTACATCCAAACCAATGTCACCCTGTACATGCACCACTATGAGAACGCCCCCTCGAATAACTGCAATGCTACATATGTGACTGCGGTTTCTCTCTGAACATCCTATGGGGACGCAAAGATTGCTGTCGGCCGGTCCTACTGCATTTTGCACTGCAAAGTGTTGGTGATAAAAATTATACAATTTACATTTGTACAGTTCGCTAAAAGAATGGTATAGAAAAAGAAATACTGGGGACACATCCGTCTGCCGCAGTGGTGGTTGTTGCTGCTGCTGCTTGAAATGTATGTATATATTTATATATATATATATATGTATATATATATGGTACACAGTGTTTGAATGTGGCTTACGTACACAAACAGTCTATAAGTGGAAATAGTGAGTGAGTGTTGTCTACAGTTAAAACTATATCTTCCCTTTTTTTATGTCATTTCCCCACATTTTACACGAGCCATGATGAAGCAGATAGAAAAGAGGAAAAAAAAGAAGCAGTCTTCATGAGAAAAGTGGCTAATTTTGATTTCCCCCACCACCGTATTAAAAAAAAAAAAGAGTGCAAATAGGGCAAATACACTGTACAATGTAATTACAACACATTAAGCCCGACTAAGTCTTGCTTCCACCAAGTACAAACAGGCACCAGATTGGATGGGGGGAGAGGAGAAAAGTTTTTTGAAGAAGCAGGAAGTGCCTGCAACTGTAAAATTTACAAATTTCGCCCACTTACTGAATAGAAGCAGAGGGCACAATTATGCGTTGTACATATTTATACAGACATATGTATAACACAGAAGCAAAAAAAAAAAAAAGCGAGTTGGCCTAGGGCAAAAACTGCACAGCCAAAATGCTCCGACAAGGGTATCTCCATGCAGGAGCAAAGTATGCACACATCCACAGGCATTATTACATACATTATACATATATATATATATGACGGTATGGCCACACAAAAGAGGTGGGAGAGAAAAACATGTTTGCAGATACATGTTCAAAAAATATGTGCATGGTACCACGAGAAAAACAAAAAAGCTAGCACAGAAGCGATACAAAATGCTTGGATGCATGGAGGTAATAAGAAAACTGCATCAAATCACATAACAGCATGCAAACTTGCGGTTGCCCTCCATGCTCACAGTAGGAAAAAAAAAAAAAAAAAAAAGCTCATTAGAGAGATGCCCAAAAATGGGTGCATCTTGCAAAAAGCAGTTACATGGAGTAGACAACCATTAACAAAAAGCACAATTACATTTGTGCACATGCACAAGTTTGAAAACACACACACACGCACCCACAGACAAGCAGACGCCCAAATCCATTGCGTTGGCAACAATTCTTCCATAATTTCCCCGCATTTATTTCACATATATATATGTGTTATGATAGATGTCACAATTAGTGTCATGCACTAAAATTAATTTTCTCACGATTTAATTTCAGCCTTCGTTTAGCAATGTGTGCTAACTTTGTTTAGCAACTCTCTGATTTCGCTATGCAGCAGTCCTTTTGCTGCAAAAGGACTGCTGAGGCTTTAACAATAACCTGGAGCGATTCTGAACAAATGCACAACAAGCTCGCAATTATGTAGCAAGGATGAACTCCGATTGAACACTGGCCACTGAGCCAGCTAAACCTACGAGCAAATTAAAACAATAGTCTAGAATTCGAAACCAGCGCGTAATATGTTGGCAGCATCCAATTCCATAGACAAACTGAAATCGAGAGTATGTTGTTTCCAAAATTCAAATGGTAAACTTCGTAAAATAACTTTGCAACTGTACAAGATGTGAAATACATTTCTGAAGTGACAAGCACTTTACACCAAGGTGCAGATAAATGATCGACTTCGGGGAGAAAACACACGCAGTGCTTTTGCATAAAACTACTATCTTCAAGGCTACACACGATTTCATTCAGGAAACAGCCTGGCCTAGCACCAAGGGCCACAAACGCTTTTAGCAGGAAAAATGTAAAAAAGAGGATTCCGACAAGGACAGAAGATCAATGAAGTGTCCAATAGCACTTATATACAAATAACGCCCGGATGTAGCTTCTTGTTTAAGCTGCTTGTAGAAAGGGAGTGGTGGCTTCCTCTAAAAAGAGAGACACACATTCTACAGCCATGCATGGACGGGGAGACAGCATGCAGTGCTGGTTATGCAAACAACCTAAAGCTAAAAGCTAATATTCACTCCAACCTACTGCCTTCACAAGAGAGAAACAAGTCAGACGTCTACAAAACAACATGCAGTTTGATACAGTAGGTTTACCAAACCAAGTTTATACAAGTCTAGCTGACATGAAGTGGAGTAGTGACTGCGTGGTAAACTGGTGCTCCTAGTAGTACCATTTGGCTATGCACATTTCTTTAAAAAAAAAAAAAAAGGAAAACTGGAGGGGGAATATTACATATACGTTCAGCTATATGACACTCTTTAAATACATATGCAGGAGGAAATAAATAAGCTTCTCACATTTGAGATCGCAACTACAGTGAGAAAACAAACAAAAAAACAACCTTTGTGCAAAGGAGGAAAAGCTGATTTTTTTTTACCATAACACTGCAGAGAATTTACCAGTAGAGAGAGGAAAATTTTATTTTTTTTTACCCCTTGTGCATGACAGCACTTTTGTGCAACTGTGACAGCTAGGACCACTAACGTCGTTCTATCCACAACACTTCTGAGAATTGCTATGAAAACCGGTAGCAGGGTTAGCAGCGACAGGGTAGAGAAGCAGAACAAAATTGAAACAGAAAAATCAAGGCAGACAAGACAGAATGGCAAGATGCAATCTTTGTTAGTTACTCTCTTAATTTACAGAATGTACATAATAGACAAGTTTTGTAGGCAGCAAAATGCCTCGTCACAGTTTTTTTTCTTTCCTTTTTACAGTCCTAAAAACAGCCGCTTTGCAGAAAAGAGAATGAGTGTAATTTTTTTTTCTGTTTAAAACCTAGTTTACATGATGTGAAGGCTCGAATAGCGCTGTGCAGTTATACAGCACATCTTTGAAAATGAATAAAAGAAAGAGGAAAAAGAGAAAGAGAGAAAGCAAGTCCTTGCGATTCTTTCAAACTTGCATGCAGTTGTGTGCGCCTTTCTGTTCATTCTTCTGTCACTCCCGCAATGGCATAATTTACAAACTTGCAGATGGTGAGGCGCAGCATGGTATGCCCCAATGCCTGTCTTGTAACTTCAAAAACAAACTGTACAAAATGCACATAGCACTGTCTGCGGACCCTCCCAACCTCCTAAATGAAGCCAGCACATGAAACATGCTTCATTCAGTCTCTAGAAGCAAGTAAGATATAAAAATATTAAAAAAAAGTAAAGAAAAAGAAGAGCACTGCCTTGTCATGACAAGCTTTGAAAAACAAAAGCTGAGTGGTTAATACGGGAGAGAGGATGAAAAACCTGTGAAAAATGAGAAAGTGTGGGGATGATTGCCAACAGCGTTGCTGTACAAACTGCTGACAAGATGCTGTACAAAGCGGAGGGAAGTGAGACGGGCAGAACTGCACATGGGTTCCTGATCATGATGCGGAGACGTTTCGTCGCCCGAGAATGCTCGATTGAGGGAACAAAACCTTTCCAGCCTCGTGACCAATGGAAATTTAACGTGCGTCGGCAGAAAACCCCTAAATGAATCTTAACACAAAGCAGGCAAAACAAGCACCTCAACACTGTACACTGAAAAGTCAGGGAGTGATCAGTTGAACAACAGGATTCTTTCAATCAAACGGGGATGATCCCATGTCCAATCTAATATCTAGCGCAAGATGGAGATACAAAAAATTGCACCAATTTTTTTCCCCCTACAACCCCAATAAAAAGAACAAGGGGGGAGGAGTGCATGAAGAAAACTAGGGTAATAGAATGTACAACATGAAAACTAGTCTTGGCAAGGAGACCAGAATGTTATAACAGTGAAAAATGTCACGCCTACAGAAAGAAAAGTCTGTACTCGCACAGACGGCTGCACCCGACAGGTGATCCCGCGGGAACAACAATGTAGAAAGCGCCATTCACACTAAGTGATCGCAGCTTTGCCTAGGTAAGAGCACAGATGTGGGAAATGAGCGAGGAGAAAAGGGGGTGAAAGGAGGATGAGAGCTTAACATACGGCGGCTACCTTTTAAAGAGACACAGCGCGCTCTAGTGTAGAGAGGTTCGGGCAAAAGCACCACCCAGCTACAACAGGGAAACCCCCAGGGCTTGTGCACATTTTTCAGCCCCGCAAAGAGGCGTCAAAAAAGCTAGAGCTGCACAGGGGCTCCTAGTATCACTTGCGTCTCGACCAAAGGGCTTCACCACCTAACAGAACAATAGAGAAAAAGAGTGCCACACAAAGAATAGCTGCGCAGCGGATGCGCAAATTAAACAATGCACCAACGCACGCCTGCACTGTTGCTTTGATGGTGCACGACGGGCGAGGCTTGTCGTCACCTGCAGCACCCCAATGTCGCCTTGTCTGGTGGCAACGCAGAGGAAGAGAGAGGGGACGAGCGAGCGCCTCAGAGGGCCCCATTGGAGGCGCCGCTTTGGCCGCCTCCCGAGGAGAGGATCTGGTCGCCGCTTTTGAGCAGGTGCTTCTCCAGCTTGGCCAGGATGTGCTTGCCATAGGTGTACTTGCGCAACGAGGGCACGTGCGGACGGATCTTGTGTAGCAGCAGCTTGCGCTGAGGCGGCTCGGCCACCTCTATCATCTTCTGCACCACGTAGTTGGCGTACTGGTCCTTCATCATTGTGTATAAGGCACTGTGAGGCCTGAAATAGAGAAGCTCAAGGTCACACCAAGTGCCGATCCACCCACAAGCAACCTGTTGTGCCTTTTTCCCCTCTCTCAATAAACAAGATGCTTGGGTGTATGCGACACAAAAGCCCATTCAGCTGCTAATTACATGACCAGCTGACTGACGTTCAAAATAAGAAAGACCTTCAAATAAAAACATTTTTGCACACGGCAGTAGGAACAATTGGTGAATTGAACGCCTGTCCCTATAAGAAGTAATCTGTAATCCAAAACAATGCTTGCTCTTACAGAGGGCAGCTCAATAGCACACGCAGTGTGTGACCGCACACAGACATAGGGCCCCTACTCACCCATCAACATAGGCGCACACCTCCTCAATAAGAAGGGCGCGCTCCGAGCGTGAGGCATGCGTGACGCACTTTTCAACCACGTTGCTGGCAAACTTGTGCTGGGAGAGGGGCAGCACTCTGCCTCGGACGGCGGCCACTATGCGGCCCTTGTCCTCGGGCCGTCCGTGCTCCAGCACGTGCTGCACCACGTAGTTGCCATACTGGTCCTGCACCAGCTGCTCCGTGTGCTGGTGGAGCTCCTCCAGCACGGGTCCTGTCTGCTCACCCGTGCAGTGCTCCAGGATGCGCTGGATTACCCGGCACCCATACGGGTGTGTCGACAGACAAAACACCTGCGGAACAACAGGAAGCAGCACATTTCACAAATACGCTGAGTGGCATGCGCATAACTACTTAAGAAGCTTTTTATTTTTGAAGGGGTGAGGCTACACTTGACGGGCAACTTTTATTAATGTTTCTTTAGGTATAGATCTAAACGAAATTTTTACAGTTTGTGTATTTAGATGTGCAAATTCTAAAAACGTAATTACTTTTTTTGATAGGTCAAGTAGTTTCCAAAATACTCCACAATTAATGTAAAACCTGGGTCCTTTGTTTTGCAGCCTAATTAGCAACTAAGCAGGAAGCATCAAAACACTGGCGACAGTGTAGAAAAAATGTAGAATGTTTAAGGAGTGCAATATGCTATAAATTAATTTGCTGGGACAATTTCAACAGGAGTTAGCTAACATCAAAGTTCAGAGAAAAAAAGCCACCGTTACCTGTCACGCATGTGACCTAATTAAAAATTTTTTTGATCTGTATATTGCCTTCAAATAGGCATATTGCATACTGCATGCATTTATTATTTTTTGCCAGAAAGGCTTTCTGGCAAAAAAATAATTATGCTGATAGCTCCAATGGAACAGAAGTTATTTTCCCTCAAAGCAAATGTGCCAAAATTGATGTTTTGAAAACGAGAAAAAACGTTTCAAAACACTTTTATTGAAAAAAATGCTAATCAAATGTTATGAAAATGCACCAGGGGCATAATCTGGATGCATCTCATCCTTATGCTTCTTCTTGACCAGCTTTCTCAGACGTTGGGACGCTTCTCTCTTTTTATTTGATGTTGCACTCTCACGACAGTCCTATCTAGCCCTCAGGGATGTGCTGCTGAATATCGTGATGTCCAGCTGCTCTAGAATCGCTGCAAAGCTATTGACATTGCCCGTGTTGAAGCACAGCACAGTTTCTGCAGCAGCAGCTTGCACAGCAAAAAGAGAAACGTGCTGCTCCTTTGATACCAAACTCCAAATCACGAATTGGAGGCTTTTGTGTAAATTCTGAGTTCTGCCTTGCTGGCATCTTGCCTCGCTTGACTCCGAAAAATGCTAAATTTTTCGCGCTCTTGCAGACATCGACGAAAGACTATCAAACGTCGTGGTCATCTCGCAAGCGCGCGCGTCACGAAATTCACTGGCATTCATCACAATAGCGTCCATCTGTACAAATTATATCTTGACTTTCATTGCATCATTATTTTATGACATAATGGAGTCATTTAACATTGTTTCGATGGTCAACAGCACTGGCTATTACACCGAAATAAAATGCACAGCTACATTAAAAACTGTTTTTTTTTGCAAGGACCAAAGTGCTGGCGGATTCATTATCAGAGTAAATACGGTAGTTTTGTGCTCTTACTTCAACAGGGTTCAGGCTCGTTTACATGACCGAAATTCAAGGGTTTTCAAGGACTTCATAGGCTACCGTAATTACTCAAATCTAATGCGCACCTTTTTTCCGGTTAAGCAAGTTCATAAATCACATGCGCGTTAGAGCCGAGTACGAAAAAAAAAAAAAAAAGAATACGGTCATTCTATTGCCATCGACACGTCAAAAATGGCCGCCCCCTATGTGCATCGGCATGGCCCACGCCTTCTCTAAAAAGATGCCTGCCGCATGAGAGAGGAAAAAAAAAAAAAAAAACCAGTTGCCACGCCCTTTCTCTCCTTCATTTTGAAAATGTTCTCGGTCGCTAGCGTCACCTGTGGCGGACGGTGCAACAACGCAACACTTTGCATAGCCTCCAAAACAGTGGTGCACAGTTGCAGGTCTCGAACAACGCTCGACTTACGCGCCCCTATGGGCCGCAGATGAGAAACGCTTGGGCTAGTATCACCCGTCGCCGTGATGATAGTGTCGGTCGCGAGCGCCACCGCGCGGAGCTTGTTTAAAACTGAAGGCAGGCCAACTCTGCTGGAAGCGCGAGGCATTCCTCGGGCATCTTTCTAGAGGAGGCGTTGGCATGGCGCGTCGGCCATTTCTACCAATGTGTTTACCATGTGCGGCACTTCGTACGTGTGCTGAGGAGTTCGTCGTATCGTAGTGCATTCACATCGACGGCATGGAAGGGCCGACTCCGAAGACTCGACGAGTGCACCACGATGCTGCTTTCAAAAGAAAAGTAACCGCGTGTGCAGAAACGGACGAAAATCGGGCCGCATCGCGGTCGTTCGGAGTTCCTGAAACGTGCGTGCGGGACTGGCGGAAACAGAAGCAAAAGATTGTAGACTGCAAGGCTTCATGTAAAGGCTTCAGTGGACCGCAGCAGGGTCGGTTTCCGAAAATTGAAGAGCTGCTCGCCGAGTATGTGCTTGAACAGCGAGCGGCACAGCGGCCCGTGACGACAGAACTGCTTCAAGTGCGGGCTTCAAGTGCGGGCTAACGCGGAGCCAGTTCAAAGCGAGCAGGTGCTGGCTAAGTAACTTTATGAAAAGGAAAGGATTTTCCCTCCGAAGGCGAACGGGCATATGCCAAAAGTTGCCGGAGGAGTACGAAGAAAAGCTTCTCAGTTTTCAGAGGTTCGTCCTCAACTTGCGGCACAACAATGGCTACCTGCTTGGGCAAATCGGGAATGCCGATCAGACGCCTCTGTATTTCGACATGCCTGGCACCACAACCGTCGAGAAAAAGGGGGCGAAACAAGTTCGCGTGCTGACATCGGGCCACGAAAAAACTAGGGTGACGGCAATGCTCTGTTGCATGTCAGATGGTCACAAGCTTCCCCCGTACCTGATATTTAAGTGGAAAACTCTCCCGAAAGGAGTCGTTTTCCCGAGTGGTGTGATCGTGCGAGCCAACGAGAAAGGCTGGATGACCACGGACCTGGTCGCCGATTGGATCCATCACGTCTGGCGGAAGCGGCCTGGCGCCAATATGGGCCTGCGAGCGATGCTTGTGCTCGACGCGTTCAGGTGCCATCTCGACGAGCGGGTCAAGAACAAGCTCGCTGCGTGCAATACGGACCTTGTAGTCATACCTGGCGGCATGACGTCCCAACTTCAACCGCTGGATGTCTGCCTGAACAAGCCGTTGAAGGACAAGATGCGGGCGCTTTACACCGACTGGCTGATCAATGAACGACATGATTTCACGCCAGGCAACAGGATGAAGCGCGCCTCTCTGCAAGACTTCGCTGCGTGGGTGAAGGACGCGTGGTGTGCAATACCATCAGCCATGGTGATCAAGGCATTCAAGAAATGTGGCATCTCGAATGCCATGGACGGTACCGAGGATGAGATGCTTTGGGCTGTTGACAGTGATAAGGAGTTGTCTGACAGCGACGAGGACTGACCTATTACGCAACTCGTAATGCCGCCGTAGTGGTCTCAATTTTAGCTACAGGGCTGGCTGTTTGACTGTGTTTTATCTTTTGAAACTTCAGTGCATTAAGGGGGGACGCGGCCTTTGAAAACCGAAAAATCGCGAAAAAGTCGATTTTTGGCAAACCACATATTCGGGCAGTATGTGTCATAAACTACCTTTTCTCTAATTCGTCGCGAAACCATTTGAAATAAAGTTTAGAACATGCCGCGGCGGCCCTCGAGCGGCGCGCGAGCGCTCAAAATACCCCAACTTGGCGTGATCGCAGTTTCTCGACCGCTCGACGGAGCGCCGCCATTCTGGTGTTGTTTTGTTTGTGAATTCTTGCTCTTTCTTTCCCCGCCACCTACGTCGCCGGCGGCAGCGCAGGAGAGGAGCAAGCCGCTCATGATTGGAGGGCTCGTGAGAGCTTTCAAGTTTCCCGCGGCTGAGGCGCGCAGCTGGGATTGGGCGAAGCGCGCGCTCCCCAAGGACGCGGGGAAGCCCGCGACTGCCATTGGCTGCTGCGCGCGATGACGTAGTGCCCTTGCGCATAATGCGGCCGATGCGGCCGCTCGTCTGCTACTCCTCCGTCCGGCGTCTTTGTGTTCCGCTCGCTTCCGTGTATCGTTGCAGCCGTTCACATACTCTCCACGTTTCAACTGTCTTTGAAACGATTTTCAACCGTCTATATGAGACCGTTGTTGTGTTCGCTCACGATGCGCCAAACGAAAAAAAAGACACTACAATCGTTCGGTGCAAGGAAGCGAGCTATGAAGCTTGTCCGCGCGGCAAGGCTCTCCGCTCGCACAAACGCCGACGGTGATCGCGCCGACGGCACCTGTGGGGCAGCTTCTGCTTCAACTACGCAAGAGAGTGGTCGCATCGACGCGCCTAGCAACAGGACTCCTGCTCCGCCGGTGCAAGAATTTGTCGTTACAAGTGCGCCTGGTGTCTCGTGCTAATCGACAGTGGCTTCCGCATCTTCTCTTTCACCGGCCTCGAGTGCGATTGCGTCGTCAACTGTGCATTTGCGAACAAGTATCCTGACGTGCGAGGAAAAAGAGGCGGCGGATCAACAACGCGCTTCTGTGCAAAGAGAACTTGGCGCTATGCCAGCGACGGAGCGGAAATTTCAGGCAATGGAGTGCGATCATGAAACTGCCACCGCTACAAGTGAAGGCGAAAAATTTTTCCTTGTGCAAATGGATGCCCTAGACGACCTGCTATCTCGGACCCCGTGCCACCGGTGCACCGCGATTGGGATGAAGGTACGAGGAGGCACCCAACTTGGACTTGCTGCAAAGCTTGAGCTAGTATGCTTGCATTGTGGAGTAGTTTCAAGCTCATGGAGTTCAACTCGTCAGGATGACACAAAGGCCTTTGATGTGAATGCAAGAGCCATTATGGCAACGAAACAAATAGGCAAGGGACAAACAGCTCTCAACGACTTTTGGGCAGTGATGAACGTGTCCCATCGTGGCCTCCATCACAAGACCTTTCAGAAGCACCTGAAGAAATTCAGGGAACCGCAGACACAACGCATAGAAAATTTCTATGCAGAATCTGCTTCTGCTGTAAAAGCCACTTACAAAGAAATGGATCAATATTTCACCAGGGATATAACAGTTTGTTATGATGGAACATGGCACAAGCGTGGGCACACATCCCATATTGGAGTCGGGGCAATTATCGAATACCATAC